ACAAAATACTGCATCATATATATATATATATATATATTATATATAATGCAGTATTTTGTATTTATTATAGTGGTGATATAATTGTACTTGGTAGAAGAAGTGGAGGTGGAAGTGAAGGAAACCAACTTCCAAATCATTATATAGATTTGTTATATTAGTTTCTTATTATGTATATTTCTTTTGAAGATCGGCGAGTCCCAAGGATAGATAGGGTATATCATAGTTTAAGATATTTAATTTCATTGAAGACCAAGAAAATGTAAAAAAGAATTGTGTTCTTAATGGTCCTCTTCATGGTCAACGAACCAAAACCACGCGTGACACTTTAGCTACTAAAGCAACTAATCCATCTCCCTCTTCACAACAAATGCATTAGGTGAAAGACCAACCAATAACAATTCAACAAAATTGGAATTTGTCAGTGTTTATCTCACTGGACCCAACTTAGACTAAAAATTGTTTAACTTTTCAATTTCAGAGTTTGAGCTTTTTCCCACGTGTAAAAGTGACATGGGAATGTGTTATGTACTAAGATATTTATTAGATAAAATATCTTAGATATTTTAAGCGGTTAAGATATTTATGAGTAACTAACCACACATTTTTAGGTAAGGTTATTTTTATTTGGCTTATAAATACAATGACAGACAAAAGTTCAGGTATGTTCCCTCTAGGTTCTACTGATGCTAGAGGAACTCTAGATAATATTCTACAGTGATAATATAATCACTTTCTTGAGAGCTGAGGCTATAGCGCGAACGACAACAATGGAGGAAAAGAGACACACCAAAAAACATTTACACCGAAACAGAATGTAATATGGTGCACGCAGAGATGGTAAAGTAGGAACAAAACCAACTTTTGAAATTGAGACAAACATTTGTAGCCTTTAATGAAAACACCCTTCATCTCGGATTCATGTGAGAAACCTTCTATTAACTGTTTCTTTGAAGACATTTTCTTTTGGGTAACCTAAGCATGTTGCTGCACAGGGAAGAACACTTTCTACGTTCCTTTTGCTTTATGTAAAGTCATATACATACCTTTTGGAAAAAAATGTTACTATTAGTATATGGCTTGGCCCTCTTAAGATGCCTTATGAATTCATTATGTTAGATTTTGAGCAACAATCTCATATCCATCATTAAGCATTCTATGGAAATGTACAGCTAGCAGCAGCTTATTGGTCTCCTTATTATTCCAACCGCCTAATAAGCTATTAAATGTTTGTCCTTATTCTGATTTGGCACTATGATCATCATGCTCTAAGCTTTTCCAATGTTTTTTCTTGGTTCTTTATCATTACGGCCTTTGACTAATGCTGCTACTACTCACTTTTTGCGGATCCTCGTTATACTGTCATGTTTGCTTTAATTTTTCTTCTTCGTATATGTAGATAGAATAGTAGATAGAAACATGAAGCTCATTCCACATCATATTGGGGTTAGCTATCACTGCCTTCAATTTGTTTCTGTGTGCATTGAAGAGTAAAATGTATGTCAATTGGTGTTATCTCTGTCTAAATAATTTATGTGCTGCTTGGGATGAACTTTTCTTCAAGGCAATTATTGTGTCTGCTTTTCATGATCATGAACAGATAACTGTCATGGACAAATTCGTAAGACTAGCTGGAGTGGATTCTCACTCTTCCCGATGTTGCTTTCATTTAGGCTACAATTCTTGTTTTGTAGCTGTCACCTGCTTGCAGCTTTCTAAAACAATGGCTCTGTTTATTGGTAACATTTGAAAAAGAAGGAAAATGTTTTTTATATTTTAAGAGTATTTTGGTTATTAAAAAAAAATAATTTTTGTATTTGTAAAGAACGAAAGTATTTTGCTCATTAAAAAAAAGTTAATTTTTATATTTGTAAAGAAAGAAAGAGATTGAAAACAAAATAATGAATGTAAAGTATGTGTAAAAATTTGTTAAGTGTAAACTAATAGTACTATGATGATAAATAAATTGTTTAGGTTAAAATATGTTTAAAAGTTTATTAAAACCTGTTTTATATTATAGTTTAAGGTTGACTACTTAGGATCTCATATACATAATTATATGTTGTATTGTTTAATTTCTTTTATTAATATTTGTTCTATACTAAAGTTTAAGGTTGACCATAACTATATTATCTGTGTAAAAAATTATTAAAATTTGTTCTGTATGTGTTCCTTTATTCCCTCATTAATCTCTTATACATAATTATATGTGTTCCTTTGTTCCCTCATTAATCTCTGCTAGATGATGCTTTAAATTGTGGTCTACAATCTGCAATCCCGTTATGGCTACAACAATCAGTGACATTTATCTGTAATTTTCTTGCAGTATGAAGCATGAAGAACCCGCAATTGAAAACAATGGCTGTGCCTGCGCGTATTAACTGCACAAAAAACTGAAATGAAAAGAAAAATCCAAGAAATAGAGCTATCATATGATGGCAACAGCTCAGTGGTGAATAGAGCGAGAGATTATCAAGTACCATCAGGAAAAACTCAGCGCTAGCTTCCGTTGAGTGGTGCGTAACCACTTATTTATTGCTGCAGCACCAAGTTCCGTGTCTTGTCTTGATCTTTTTTCTGCATAATCCTTAGTAAGCCTTACCATTTCCTAGTCACTTTCAATGTCCAAACCATCCTTGTATAGTTTCCATGATATAATAATAGCACTTATGTAGTATTTTTTTCAACTTTTCTAATTGTTTTAATTTCGATTAGAAATTCAACTCGAAGTCTTTCGACAAAAGTTGGATAAAAATGAGAAAGTGAAATACTATATAATAATAAGACTCATTACAATTCATTGTCTTTTAAGTTTTTGATAAAAAATGTTATCATTTAATTGGATTCAGATTTCATTAGTGTTATAATCCATGTATATATGCATTTGGGTTAGGTTCAGTGGGTCTTAACTTACAAGAGGGCCTTGTACAAGAATTATGACCGTAAAATGAGAGTGGTGGACGTTGAGGGAGGAACTGCATTCAGCACTCTTGGTATATAGTGAAGCATGTGGATGCTAAAAATGTCACAATCCTTGATCAGTCTCCATTCCAACTGGTCAGGCCAATACCAATCAACTCCTGAAAGAATGCAAGATATATAGTTGAGGGTGATGCAATAGGAGGCAAAGCTTGTATTATAGGTCCAACATACCCAACTTTTGGTTTTCTACATTATTTGCAGACTTGAGGAAGAGCATATTGAATGGTTTCGAAAAACTTTTGTTGTGCATCGCAGCTACTTTTTAGCAGTTCAGACTTCAAAGTATTATTTAATATGGGAATCAACTTGATTTTCTCAACGAAGATTGTGTGCTAGTGACTTAGATGCGTTTGGATAAACACTATCAGATGTTTATTTAATAAACTCTTGTTACCTTATAAACTTTATCGAGAACCTTATAAAAAAGCTCTTTACCAACAAACTCTTCTAAATGTCTCCTCATATCAGTGTACAATGAAGGTCAATGTTCATCAATAAACGTAATAACATACTTTATTTGGAAGCTTGTTTTTCCTACCTTTTATGTTCAGTGCAATTTTGAAGTGTGGCTGTGCATAATGCATGTCTTTAGCAGACATATATAGACCATGTGCTAGACTGCCTCAGCATTCGTGAGCTATGTATGGAGGAGTCAATAAAATATTGTGCTCCTTTTGCTCATTTTCCTATGGATAAGACAGACGACAGAGTATTGATTGCATGAAAAACGATTATTTTAACTAAGTTATATTCAATTATTAGTTTAACATACTGGAGTACTGGTGAACTACAACATGAGAACATTTTTTATGAGTTGTTTTTTAGTGTTTATTTACGAGGTATGAAAAATACTGTTCACTTCGGAAGCACATTAGCTTTTGCCGGATTCAATTGTTAAAAAACTTGAATCCCTTTCATCGTTATTAGTGTAAACCATTAATTTAATTTGTTAGGAGAACCGTTCAGGTGATAGACATCTACACACTTTTATCTGTGTACACCTTTTATTTTTTCATGGGGAAGTGTTTTCTTTAAATATTTTAATTAGTCTGTATCATGTGACTCAAAATCTTTAACAAAGAAAGACTCCAATGTCCAAGTTTCATATTAAATAAAAATAAAAAATTAGAATATTATATAAAAGTGAAAAACTCTTTAACTCATTATCTTACTATTTTAAATAAAGAGTGATATGTTAATCTTTTTATATAGTTAGATTGGGACGTTATTAATGTTTATGTTTTCATAGCATAGGACTATGAATTTAGTTTGTAAATTTGAAATAAAATTAAATCTAAAATACCTTCATACAATTGTATTAAAATACACACACGTGTATATATATTCTTAAACTTTGAAGACTCAATTATATCAAAATTTAAAATTTGAATAAATTTTAATTTTACATTCAAATTTAGAAACAAAAATTATATTTAATCATTATATATATCATTTAAATGCATAATTTGTTTTGTACCAAAAGAGGAAATAGTTTTTATAATTCTCCCTTAGTTTTAGGTTATAATTTGGTTTAGCTTAAATTCATTCGCATGATTTTAGTTTTGTACCACATAAATTTCGTTATTGTAAGTTTAATGCAATATTTCATTGAATAAAAAGAAATCCAATATACTGAGAAAATACGTGGGGCGTATGATAAGCCGGAGTTACATAGTAGCAGAAACTGGCGACTACAAAGAAGGTGCACTTGTGTAGTGCAGAAGCTTCTAGTTATACCAATTGGAAAAAGAAAACTAGGATGTTCATAAAGTTTTCAAACCAAACAATAGCATGAATAATTTTGTGATATCAAAGACTTCCATCAAACACATGCTCTCAAGAATACAGAGCATACGTGGTGCAAATGAGAAAATTTCTCAAATTACCATATCAACGATCAAAATTGTTTTAAAGAGCTCTTCTGATCTTTAAACCAGCAATTCTAGTAACGTGATTAAAATTCACTCCTTTCACGTATTCCTCTCACCTGAATAATAAACTTGATTGAGAATTAACGTGTCTTAATCAGATTATTGAATAACCTTTCTCTTCATATCATAGCAAATCAAACACATTATCTTTGTTTGACTCTTTGAAGTATAAATGATACATAAGAGTTTTGTCCCTCGTCATATAAATTCAATACATGAAAAATGAATATCTCAGGATTCCCGCAGCCCTACATCATGTTGGGGCTTTGCCAGTTACTCGCTGGGCAATCCATCCAAGACCATCATAGAGCCCTTCTCCAGTGAGGGCACAACAAGCCTGTATATGCCAATCATGATCCTTGATACTGTGAAGAGATAATGCATCAGTGATCTCAGCAGGAGTCATAGCATCCTTGATATCTTGTTTATTAGCAAAGACAAGAACGACAGAATGTTGCAAATCTTCGTGCCCCAGCAACCTAAAAAGTTCATCCTTCATGACAGAGATCCTGGCTCTATCACTGCTGTCTATCACCGCAATAACAGCATGAGTTCCTCGGTAATATGTTGCCCATGATGTCCTCAGTCTTTCTTGTCCACCAAGATCCCAGACCTGAAATGAATGACAACGTGGAGTAAGTAATGCTTCAACCTACTCAGTAGTAAAAATTAGAATATTCAACAAAATGTAGTTTAAAAACATTAATGTGGATTGCTATCAAAACCATATCCATCCTTTCACCAGGAAGGAAAGAAGATAGCAAAGGTTTAAAATGATGGCCCGCGCAAAAACCAAAAGAAGTGGAAATAAATGCTATTGCACTCCCCCCAATCACTTGTTACAAAGAGAAAGCAAAGACTACGTTAATTTATGTGATTATCCAGTGTTTATAAAGAAACAACTAGCGTCCTTAATCATCAAATGCCAAATTGTGGTTGGAGTTTGTAAAGAATCAAAACAGTCAAGCATCAGCCAGCATTTGAAAAAATGTTGACATCCATAAAAGCTATTTCAGTGGACGCAAACACATGGCGCTCATAAAGAAACAACTAGCCTCCTTAATCATCAAATGCCAAATTGTGGTTGGAGCTTGTAAAGAATCAAAGCAGCCAAGCATCAACCAGCATTTGGAAAAATGTTGACATCCATAAAAGCTATTTCAGTGGACACAAACAAATGGCGCTCATAAAGAAACAACTACCGTCCTTAATCATCAAATGCCAAATTGTGGTTGGAGCTTGTAAATAATCAAAGCAGCCAAGCATCAGCCAGCATTTGGAAAAATGTTGACATCCATAAAAGCTATTTCAGTGGACGCAAACACATGTTGTTCACTGTCCCAACACTTACGGCAAAACTGTAAGCACTCAATTTTGCCCTTCAGGGAAGGAGAGAAGATAACGGGGGACGCCGCAACCAGAAAAAGGAAAAATGTTGACATCCATAAAAGCTATTTCAGTGGACGCAAACACATGTTGTTCACTGTCCCAACACTTACGGCAAAACTGTAAGCACTCAATTTTGCCCTTCAAACCACAGTTTTGACATGTCACTTTCACAGTGAAAAGCAAAACCCTTCGCTCCATAATTCAATATAAGTATTTTACTTTAAGCCTTCGTTTAAATGGTGTGAAAGAAAGTGGAGTGAAAAAAAGAAAGAGAACTAGAGGAAAGTAAGGTTATTTGGATGAGTTGAAAGAAAGTGGAAATGAAATGAGCGAAAATGTAAGATGATTTTATTTGCCATTAATAATTTTATTTATTATTTTTAATATTAGTTTTTGATTACTTACTGTTAAAAAGTGAAAAAAACACCCATTTTAAATTAAGGATGTCTCATAATCAATCAATTATGCATACAGAATACACTTTTTGTTTTAGTAACATAATTGATTATGTATGCAACAAAATACATAATCGATTAAACATAGTCTATTATGTTGCATTTTTGCCTAAAGTGAAGGTTTTCACTTCTTCTTTCTCTCTCATGACCACCTTCTAATGTGGCTATCCCTACAAATCTCTTCAATCCGCAGAGAGCTAAAGAAAGGGGAGCTACAACTCTTTCTTTTCAAATCCCTGAAAATCAGCTTAAACAAACTCAACTCATCCTCTCGAATCCGTTCATATCCATCCTTAATAATAGTATTCCTTGCATGTAAGCATAGTGTAATAGCCGTTATACGTCAACTATGCATACAGAATAGTCGATATATACAGAATACACTTTTTGTTTTAGCAACATAATTGATTATGTATGCAACAAAATACATAATCGATTAAACATAGTCTATTATGTTGCATTTTCGCCTAAAGTGAAAGTTATCACTTCTTCTTTCTCTCTCATGGCCACCTTCTAATGCGGCTATCCCTACAAATCTCTTGAATCCGCAGAGAGCTAAAGCAAGGGGGCTACAACTTTTTCTTTTCAAATCCCTGAAAATCAGCTTAAACAAACTCAACTCATCCTCTCGAATCCGTTCATATCCATCCTTAATAATAGTATTCCTTGCATGTAAGCATAGTGTAATAGCCGTTATACGTCAACTATGCATACAGAATAGTCGATATATACAGAATACACTTTTTGTTTTAGCAACATAATTGATTATGTATGCAACAAAATACATAATCGATTAAACATAGTCTATTATGTTGCATTTTCGCCTAAAGTGAAAGTTATCACTTCTTCTTTCTCTCTCATGGCCACCTTCTAATGCGGCTATCCCTACAAATCTCTTGAATCCGCAGAGAGCTAAAGCAAGGGGGCTACAACTTTTTCTTTTCAAATCCCTGAAAATCAGCTTAAACAAACTCAACTCATCCTCTCGAATCCGTTCATATCCATCCTTAATAATAGTATTCCTTGCATGTAAGCATAGTGTAATAGCCTTTTTACGTCAACATCAAGAAGGGTTGGCAAGTTTAATGGCGGAAAATGAGAATGCTACAACGAAAGAGAGGTCACTCAAGACAAGATTGAGAATGATCTCAATCAATAGAGAGAAAGTAGAGAGACCTCCCAGAACAGACAAATTGGCAAAATTTTATCTTTGATGGTTTGGGCACATGAGGAGGCCGTTGACCGCTCATGCAAGATAACCCAATGCTCATAGTGTAATAGCCTTTATATGTCAACATCAAGAAGGGTTGGCAAGTTTAATGGTGGAAAATGAGAATGCTACGATGAATGAGAGGTCACTCCAGACAAGATTGAGAATGAGCACAATCAATAGAGAGAAAGTAGAGACCTCCCAGAGCAGAAAAATTGGTAAAACTTTGTCTTTGATAGTTTGGGTACATGAGGAGGCAGTTGACCGCTCATGCAAGATAACCCAAAGCTTAAAGGTATGAAGAAATTTACAAATCAAACCATTGGGATACATTTAGAGGTAAATTGCCTGTCTTTCCACTCCATAATGACAGAACTTTATGGTGCAAGCCAACTCAATGCAATGGGAGAAGGCTTAGTTGTTGTTGATGTTGTATAATTACACATCTAAAAGTGATTTTTATCAAACATTCTTTTTTAACAAAATAATTTCAAAATTACTTTTAACAAAATCAATTTTACAAAATCTAGGTCGTTCAAAATCAAGTTTGCAAGAAATCACCCAAACGCGTCCTTTCTGACACATCTCACCCAAACACATTAGAAAATAGAAGCAGGACAAAGTTGTATGTCCGGTCCAAGTACACAGAATCATATGGAACACTAACAGTCATTGTGGTGAAGTCAAATGGCTAATTTTTTAATTTTTCTATTATAGTCGAATCCTCTAGATAATTAAATTGGAGTGCTGGCAAATTTATCTACTTAGAGCCTATGATTTACTAATAAGATTAATAACAAAGTAAGCAGAGACAAGCCCTCACACACATACATATATTAGGCAACAACAAAGATAACATGAAACCCTCCTAGCAAGATCAACACGATGAAACAAAATGCGTGAATAAAATAAACAAGAGTTGGGTGAACGGACCTCAAATCGTATATTCTTGTAAACGAGCTCTTCGACGTTGCTACCAACAGTAGGATTGGTAGTTACAACCTCACCCAGATGCAATTTGTAAAGGGTGGTGGTTTTTCCAGCGTTATCTAATCCAACAACAACAATCTTATACTCTTTTGCAGGGAATAACATGAACCAGAACCTCGACATCAATGCCCCCATCCTCTATGTACTTCTTAAAGAAATCCTATACAATCAACAGACAAACCCGGGAACACGAAGTATCTGAAAATCAGATTTTCGATCAAACTTGCGTTGGGTCAATTATACAGTTAACAGATCGATATCACGTGCAAAATACATTAACCATCATAGAACGAAAAGATCGAACCTGGCACTGCTGTTTACAAGGAGAATCGGAGTCCGTGGAAGAAAGGGAAATTGAAATCGTGAGAGCCCCAACTTGGAATTTTCAATTTTGTTTTGTATTTTTTCTTTTTTTACTTTTCAAGAATGGAAGTAAAGAAAACAAACAATTAAAAAGGCTTCCCCTAATAGATGTCAGTGGTCGCACACGCCAAGCAATTATTTTAATAAAAAAAAATGTAATTGTTTTCAAGAGTTGTTATTTCTTTTTGTTACAAACAAAAGTTCATTCCTTCAAAAGTTATCACTTATGTTCTGTTAAAAAAATATCACTTATCAAGTTTTTATAATATTCTTCTCTGATCAAATTTGTCAACCACAATTTGTGTGGTAAAGTTTAAAACGTAAAATTTTACACAACCCTCTCTTATCATAATATATTAACTTTATTCACTCTATATAGTTTAATTCTGTTATTTTTTTTCTTTAACTTGTTTTAAAATATTAAAATATTATTCTATTTATATATATATATATATATATGGTTTACTAAGTAACTCTTTGTATCAAATTTTAGTTGATAAAAATATCTCGATTTAAAAAGAAACACATACTTTAAATACAGGATATTTTAATAATTTTTATTTTAAGTTTAAAATAAAAAAAATTAAAAATTATTCAAATAATTTTAACCTTTATAATACTTAACTTTAAAACTTAGAATTCATATGAATGTATTTTTGTCAACTAAAATTTAATATTACATAAGTTAATATATATATATATATAT